GGGGGGGGGGGGGGGGGGGGGGGGGGGGGGGGGGGAAGGCTGCTTTAACAACCCAAACCACATAACCTGGGTGTAATTAGCAAAGGGGGGTTAAAACCACATTTCCCCAGTTTGCACTGGTAACACAGTTAATGCTCCACACAGGCTTGGTTTGCAAAATAAATTAGAAACCATGTGATTTCAGTACCTGGAGCCCTTGATCTACCAGCTAGAGCTCAGCACCCCCCCAGTCCTCCATTACAGCACGTGAATGACGTTCACCACACCGAGGATCAAGGAGTTTACTTTATTACTATAAATTGGTTTATGTTCTTGTACTTCACATATAAATATCTTGATGACAACAAAAAAGGCACATCCATGACGACATCATGCACCTTGTCTGCGTCTATATTTTATTACAAGAACAATCCCTCTCTCCCCACTAGAAATAAAAGCCTAGAACGGGTTGTGTGACATAGACCTCTCTGTATTGACAAAATACGCAAAACAGTCAGTAAAAATTTACATTTCTACAAAGTCTAAAAATGACACGGCTTATCTAAATGGCAGGTTCACTTTGCCTAGGGCCGAAGGACAGTTTAAAAAGCAGGTGGTTTGACTCCCCCGATTCAGGAAGTTCAAGCACCACTTACAGTTTCATTCCCAAACTGAACGCAGGGAGTTGAGGCGCCGGGACCAGCCTGCTCCAGCTGCACAAAGCACTCCCTGCTTCCCCTTTCTGCTCGTCTTCCATTACCATCCTCCAGAGGTAAATGTTCCTATTTCAATGAAAATACAAAAAAATTTTTACAAATACACGTTTCTTTTTAAAATTACTTGTCCTGTAATACCTCTAGATGCCCGTTTAAGCCCATTCCCACCATTCCCCCCCCCAAAAAGTAGAGCAATTCTTTCAGTGTAACACCCTTAACCAGAGCTAAAATGGCAGCTCCCAGCTGCATCACTGCACTCACAGCTCTTGAAGAGATGGGAGCCGTTACGGTCTTTTTAAAATAGGTAATGAAGAAAAAAAATTGTATATTCTAAATGAATGAGGTAAAGTTTTATACATTCATTGGTGTAAATAAATACCAGCAGAGTTTTATAGGAACACGAGTATAAGTTTAAGGGTTTTATTATCAAAGTTTTTGTAAAACAATTTCAGAAACTGTACATCAACATGGCACAGACTGTAGCCTACTTTTGTCTTTTTACCTGCACAAAAGTAAAAGCTCTTGAACTTCTGTAACTAAGAAAACAGCTTGCCTAACTACTTTGCATATAACATGGAATCACTGTGTGCATAAGATTACTACTGCAGTGACAGTAAACACAAATTCATTAGTTTATACAACTTGAGATCAAGTAAAAAGTACATTATCAAGTAGACTTGCTTTTAAAAGCATACGAAGGTCAATTTTAAAATGCACTACCCTTTTTGCAACGTGTTTCTTTAGCTCGTTAACAAAAGGACCTGGATTATGAAAACTGCACAAATCAACCTTTAATCACGGGGCACTGATCAAGCAGAGATTTTTCACTTCCCAAGGCTCCAGAAGAAAAGTTAAGAACCATTAACAACCAGCCTGAGATGGAGTTGAACTGACAGAAAAAAAAAAAAAAAAAAAAAGCCCTCAAAAAGGTTAGTGCATTTTAACTTTGTCAAAGCCAAACAAAACCCACCGGGAAAAAACAAAACAAAACCAACCAACCCCAGCCACGTGGCTTAAAAAAAAAAAAAACAAAACCAAAAACCCAAGAACAAAAAACTATCTATATCAGAATGCTTATTTTCAGATGTACTGTTGATTTTTTTCGTGTAGTCACACTTAAGACCCTTAAGTAGATCCACCATATGCTGTAGGACTTGAGAACATTGAGGATGTTTCTGCCACAATCAACATGCAGTCAGTGCATTCCCTATACTGCTCTATTACTGCAATGAATCAAATTCTAGAAACACTATAAGTGAGCTGATTTACTAAAGGAGATCATACAACAAACAGTCCATGCCTGCTGTAGATGCATGCAGCTTTGTACTTTTGCTCAAAGCATCACCAAGTTAGTAAAAATCGCTTGGCTACGCGATCCCTCTGGGCCGTCACGAGGATGGTTACCTTTCTAGAAAGCTTTTGATGTGAGTTAGTATCAGGAGATTTACAAACCAAGTCTAGCTTAGAGCTGTATACATCTAGGTTTAGGATTAACGAGTACAGCATAAAAGAATCACACAGGAATGACACTGATGCACGTCTGCAGCGGTGCTCACTGCAAAGGCAAAACTCAGTCACTCATATCCATGTCCTCTTCATGGTGATCATCCCCGTTGACTTTGGATTCCCTGGCCGAGTCTCCGCTTCCTTTGTCACCCGCAGACTCCTTCACTTTTGGGGAGGAAGAATCAGCCATTTTCTTCTCCTCCTTCTTCTCCTTCTCGCTGTCGTATCCTTGTTCTTCTTCGTCGTAATCCCTTGTGACCTGCTTTGCCGAGGTAAAAAAAAATAAAAATAAAACTTGCTTTCAAAGCCCCTTTTTGCCGGTTTAAGATTAATACACCGGTACAGGCAGTGAGGCTAAACAGGTTTTTAAACATACTTTCACGTCTTTATCGCTCTCGGATTTTCGTTCTCGATCCTTCTCTTTGTCTTTGCTTTTTTTTTTCTTGCTTGTTGACCGCTCCCTCTCATCTCTACTTCTCTCCTTGTCCTTATCCTTCTTTTTTTCCTTTTTATGTCTACAACGATAAAGCATGCAGAAGAATGAGAACCACAGTGGCACCAGAACACCGGCCGTGGCCCGACCGTTACCCACAGCTCACGGCAGGTCTAAAGGGAGAAACAGCAGCGTGCAGCTAAGATACAGCCCTCGCTTCCAGGGAGCAACCGAACCTCCCCGTTTCACCGCTGGTTTAGCCAAGGGGTTGACTGACCTTCTTGGAGATGGGGACCGGGACATTTTCCTTTTAGGAGACCTGGGTTTTTTAGGTGACCGTGTTCCACTCCTGCTTCTTCTACGTCGTCTTTCTCTGCAGGAAAGAGAGATCAAAGCTTGGTTGGTTTTTCTTCCTCCCAACTTTTTTCTTTTTTTTTTTTAAAAGCTCCAAATACATCTCCGGCTCCAAAACCAGCAGTGCTCAGAAGGGAGTAAATACGTGTAACTCAACCCGGGTATTTATTGTCAGCAGCACTGCAAAGCCCACACAGCTGCTGCTCAGCAGAGTAAGTCATTTCCTCTTCTACCTCCACCCTGACGGACAGGTCGCTGGCTCAGACTGTGTTAGGCAAACTTTTTACAAATAGAAACAAACCAGTCTGTTCTTATTAATACTACAAGTTAATTTTGGAACTTTTCTGAAACAGAATGGCACACATTTTGTATGTATTTATTCCAGAAATAGGGAAAGAGTTTAGCAGTGACCCCAAAGCACCATACGCTCTTTGATGCAGAGGCAGCAGGAGCTATTCTAGCCCAAACGATACCTCCAGAAAACTGCGGTATCAGGGAAAAAAAATAAAGCACCTTACAGAGGTGGAGAGAGCACACACGCATTTGTGCACAAACCCAAGATATCCACAACAGAACCATCACCCTTTCACACACAGGAATGTTCTTTCTGTTAAAGCAGAGAAAGCACACCGGGAATAGGGACCAAGGAAAACTTCCACATTACTGTACCTGCTTGTGCTTCTTGATCGTCTAGTTGTGCTGTAGCTTTTGGGAGGAGTTTTAGAACGTTTCTTTTCTTTCTCTTCCTTCTTTTTATCCCTTTTAGTAAAATACAGACTTTAAGTCAGTTGCAAACGATTCGAGTAGCGTTCACTACCTTTGCTAGGCAGGAAAATGAATGAAGACGTGACTACACTGGAGAGCACACTGCTCAGTATTTGCTGGGGCCAGCCACGTTATACTCATGGAAACAAGGATTATCTACAGCAGAATAAAAGAACAGCTCTTTTATGGCTTCTGTGTACAAACACCAGAAAATCTGCAAGTCTAGATGCTCGCTGAGCGAGTCACCCAAAGCCTGCAGCATCTGTTGGCTCGTAGGAAAAGCACGTTACATGTTTTTAGGTAACTGTGCACACATATAGGGCAAGTGTAATGTAATTCTGTAGGATTGTACGAGAGACTGACTTCAAAGAGAGACACCAGGTCATTTTGCCCTAGGTGGTTTGTGTGTTTTTTTAAAAAAAAAAATTAATCTCCAAAACCTCACAATTTAATTTCTAGCAAATAGAATAGATTTACTGAAGCAATACCTGGTTTTGGATGTGCTCCTAGACCTTCTGCTTCTCTCTCTGGAATGAGATCTTCTTCGCCTTGGACTTTTAGATCGCCTCCTGCTTCTTGATTTTGAATGGGACCTTCTCCTTGATCTGCTTCTTGACCGCCTACCAGCAACACATTGTACACGGGAGTGAAATACATGGGATTTTGATATACTATTCAGAATCCATCTGCTCAGGGTATTGTAATGCACAATGATAAAACAGAAAAAATAACACAGAAAACAGCAAAGGCGTTGCATTGAGTCTGCCAAAGAAAGGGGAAAGGGAAGCGCACAACCCTAAATGCCAAAGAACAGTGATGCTTCCATCAGCTCTCTCACTACTCTCCTCATAAGAAAACAGCAGCGCTATTGTAGGGAAACACTGGAACGTGAAGAAATGTTTAAACACTAAACCAAATGCAAACGGATTACTGAACACAGAAGTAACAAAGAACGACAAATGGCTTTGCACAGACCACTGGCACGTGCTGCCCAAGCGGCGGTGACGAGCCAGGGGCACACCGAGCCATGTCCTTCTCTCTGGGCAGGACTGTGTTAAGATCTCTGGTCAGGATACCTGGGGCAGAGCTCATCTCCAAATAAATCATAACCTAGAAACTGCTGGGAAAACTTCTGTCCCAGATACGTCACCAAGATGAATTAGCTGCACACAGCAGAAACAAAGAGCCCAACGTTTCTGTACATAATCAATGCTCAGAGCAGCCTCTTAGCTCCTGGTTTTATGACAAATGCTAATGACCACACGAGCACACTGGAAAGAGACTGAAGAACGAAGGGGCTTAAGGAACTGCTGTGAGGTGCAGAGCCTACAAGGGCCCAGCTGTTCACAGCAGGGAGGGCCGGGTAAAACCAAGGCTCTGTGCTAAGGTCGGTCTTACCCAATACAAGAAACAAGGTACTGTTAAGCAAAATCCACCTCCAAACACTGCTGGGACGAGGTGTCCTGAAGCTCTTCTGGCAGAACTTTAAGGTATCGGAGGTATTTTTTGCTATCCTCTCTCTCCCACCCTTTCTACAGATCCAGAGCAGGTCTCCACCCACACTCCAGTCCAGTGTGTGGACTGGAGACCAGACCATCTGCATTCTTCCACCTGTCAGCCTCCACGAGTGACGCATCACCTCCAACAAGTATTTCTGAAGGAACTGTTTCAGCTATGTCTTGTTTTTTTGTGGGGGGGTTTTGTTGTGTGAGGTTTTTCTTCTGGTTGTTTTTGTTGTTGTTGTTGTGGGGTTTGTTGTTTGTTTTTTTTAATAAATAAGCTCATTACCTGTGTCTAGATGAAGAAGGCGTCCTCCTCCTCCTTGAGCGTGACCTTGACCTTGAATGCCTTCGTTTTTCATCTTTTTTGTCTGGAGTTAAAAAGGAAAAGCACAGTAAAAAAAAACAATTTTATTTTAGTATTCACACAAAGATTTTATAAAGGAAAGCAAGTTGAGCTTCATACTATAAATAAGAAAACCTAAGGAATATTTTGACATTTGAAATCAAGCTGATCTATCCTTTTCCTCAAAAGATGACACAAAGAATGAACACGACAGGGACATGGATGTGACATAAAACCAACATAAGGTTTTACGCAAAACTGAAGAAGTCAAAATCCAGAAAATGTTGGAAAGTCATCTTAAAATCTCAGAATCTCTGCCATTTTGTGAAGGGCTAAAGAATCTCTTGAAATATTATTTTGAATTTCCCACAAAAAGCCTCAAGCAAAGCAATCATCACATTTTTCCGGTATAATAAAGGAATCGGAGTTCTATTCTGTCATGAAAATGATCAGGAGGTGGCAAAACTGTTTTCAATGTTCCAGATTGCCATTTCTCAGATTTGGTGGATCTGACATTTGTGGATGAACTGCTGCATCCTGTTCTAAAATAAAATCTATTGAAGTAAGCTCCAAAATAAACAGAATTATTTACAAACTTTCACAGATTAGGAATTAAAAGAAATCATCCCCAAGAACAAACACTAGGATGTCAAGTGGTTAAGCCACTTGGTGTTTCCAAAGAAGTCTCAGAGATGGCAGAACGAGCTTCCGTCAGGGGGGGTCTCAGGCATTTTGCAATCTTCCCATCAAGTGAATTTTAGGAAAACCAAGAGATGAATAATTCCCTGCGTTGTTCTGCAGGACATAATTCAGCATTCACGTTGTAGGACAATTAAAAACCTGTCAACTATAAATTACGTCACTACAGAACACGGAAAGACGAAGCCAGTATTTTGCAGATCATTAGCTTTTATCATATACCGCCTCAAAACTCCATCTTGAACTGAACGAGGCGTTCCACCATTTAAAATTACCTGGCTCTATAGCAGCAGAAATTAATGACTGTGCTTCTCGTACTCTTTTCATAGCTTCTTCTATTTCTTTACTGGAGGTATCTGATTTCAGACTTGGTGAAACAAGACCTGCAGCTACATGGTTCAACCTGGTAAATAAAAGGGAATTTTAGAAACTGAGTATTGATGAACCCAAGAAACAGAGGCCAGCAGTGTCAGCTTGCAGCCCACCCCATAGTGCCTGATCTGAGTGAGTAAGAACCTGCCCCCGTGCTGCCACCCTTCAGACACCAGGGTGGGAAGTCTGAGATGGGGTACCTGTGCTGAAAACCGGGGCACAAGGCACCAGTACATCCAGCTCTCGGAATTCCAGTAAAGAGCAGGGAAGTTTGTGTGGTCGTGCACAGGTATGGTTCTAATGACACTTCTCAGAATATTCTTGTACAACACGATTTCAATTCTCATCACCTGAAAGAGCAACTCCACAGGCAATGGTGTATCACACAGCAGAAAGCTGGTTCCCACTGTTGTAAGGCACACTGAGAAGCCCACCAACGGTGATGAAATTCCCAGTTGAGAAGATGTGTTCTGCAAGGTGGCTTTGAAGCCAACCAGGTATACCCAATACACCCGACCGACGTTTATCCAACCCGTTATCTTGGGTAACTGCCTCGTTCAATCTGTTACGCATTCCCCGCTCAGAGACACGTCAATTTAAAATAGCAAATAATACGCCAGAACAGTGTTAAAAGTGCAGCCGAGCACACACAGGGCGGTGCCCCCTGGCCATTTAAAACCCTGGAACAGCCAAGCAGGGTTAGAGAAGCCTGGTTAGCTGCTACAGCACCAGGGCAAGCACACATTGCTATGCTTTCCCAAAGAGGAGAGTTGAAAGAGTTCTCTCCAAAGCTTCCTGCCATTTGCAGCCCAAGGCCTTTCCGATGTGGTTCCTTTGCATTTAGCACACTCCTCACCTACCAATCTGTCCAACACCTTTTTCAATGGCACCTGCTCTCATCATCCTACCACAATGTGATCACCAGCTCAAGAGCACGCTGAACATTAACTGCTACAACCCTTCCCCGCTTGCTGTCCCATGCCATGCTATTTTGATCAAAATTATCCCTTTTCTGAATGCTGAACTAAAATTAACAAATACTTGTACTTTCTGTTATTTGCTCCCTTTTTCTACCAAGCAAAGGCCACGGTGTCTTCTGCTACCATCCAACAGCTGTAACACAGACTCTTTTATTCCTGTCTTTCACAGCAGTTGCTGGTCTCAGCTCATTCTCAGCCCTTTCACTCACCCTGGCAGGACGTACGTTGCTGGCTGCACCTTTACGTTACGGACACAGAAGTGACAAAAATGACATAGGAAAAACTAAACTTCTGTCTCCAGCAAAATAAAATCCCAGAGATTAATTGGTGTTATTCTATAGAGACAAGGCTGAATAATCACAACCTCCTCTTCTCTCTACCACAGGAAAAAAAATAAGAGTCCACACAAGACCCCCAAGACTGCTTATCTCCAACCTTAATTAGATGCAGCGGGACAAAGACTGGATCTGAATCAGGACAGATACTCCCAAGATCAAGTGTACTGCAATATCAATGTTTGTGAACACTGATGCTTACTTTGGATCCACTGTGCTCATAAGTTTCAGTAGTTGATCTGCTGCAAGAGACTGTAAGGGGGGGG